GAGGATGACGCCATGGCACTCTAGCCTGGGCAATACAGTGAGACTCTGTCTCAAAAAAAAAAATAATAAAATAAAATAAAATACATCACTTTGTAGAACTTCCTTCCTCTGACAATTCTCTGATGTTCTTGCCACTTTCGTCACTTTCATAAAATGTATCACCGGCATGAATTTTGTGATGACTTACAAGATTTGACCTCCAGCTGAAGCTCTTCCCACATAGCTCACATTTGTAAGGTTTCTCCCCTGTGTGAACTCGCCTATGATACTGAAGTTGTGAAGACCGACTGAAGACTTTACCACACACATCACATTTGTACGGTTTCTCTCCAGTGTGGACACTCTGATGAAGCTGAAGACTTGAGGCCTGACTGAAATGCTTCCCACATTCTCCACATGCGTATGGTTTCTCCCCTGTGTGCACCCTCTGATGCATATCAAGATTCAGGCTCCACTTGAAGCCCTTCCCACACTCCTCACATTTGTACGGCTTTTCTCCAGTGTGGACTTTTTGATGGGCTTGAAGGTGTGCACTCCGACCAAAGTTCTTCCCACACTCTTCACATTTGAATGGTTTTTCTCCACTGTGGACTCTCTGATGGGTCAGAAGATGTGAGGCTTGACTGAAGACCTTCCCACACTCTTCACAATTATATGGTTTCTCTCCCGTGTGGATTCTACAATGAATTTTAAGATCTGCTCTACGACTGAATCCCTTTCCACACTCTTCACATTTGTATGGTTTCTCACCAGTATGGATTAGCTGGTGGATCTGAAGTCGTGAACTCTGATTGAAGCCCTGCCCACACTCCTCACACTTGTAAGGTTTCTCCACACTGTGTGCTTTCAGATGGATTTTAAGATATGAACTCTGACGGAAGGCTTTCCCACATACCTGACATTTATAGGGTTTCTCTCCTGTATGGACTACCAGATGAACTTGATAATGGATTTTCATCCTGAAGCTCTTCCCACACTCATCACATTTGTATGGCTTCTCTCCAGTGTGGACTCCCTGATGGGCCTGAAAACTTGAACTATAAATAAAGCCCTTACCACATACTTTACATACATATGGTTTCTCTCCAGTGTGGATTCTCCGATGAGCCTGAAATTGTGAAGGTTGAATAAAGCACTTCCCACATTCTTCACACTTATAAGGTTTCTCTCCTGTGTGGACCCTCTGATGGATACGAAGATTTGAACTACAAGTGAAACGCTTCCCACAGTCCTCACATTTATATGGTTTCTCTCCTGTGTGGACCATGCAATGATTATTAAGTGCTGATCTACGACGGAAGTTCTTACCACATGTATCACATTTAAATGGTTTCTCCCCAGTATGGATTCTCTGATGTTCCTGAAGATGGGAAGCATGTATGAAGGCCCTACCACATCCCTCACAATTATAAGGTTTGTCTCCTGTGTGTAGTTTGTAATGCACAGTAAGTGTTGATCTACGACTGAAGCCTTTCCCACATTCCATGCATTTAAATGGTTTCTCTACAGTGTGGACTCTATTATGAGTTTGCAGATGTGAGCTCTGACTGAATTCTTTACCACACACATCACACTTATAACGTTTCTCTCCCATGTGAACTCTCTGATGAATACGAAGAGCTGAGCTATAACAGAAGCTTTTTCCACACTCATCACATGTATGAGACTTCTCTCTTGCATGTAACTGTTGATGAAGATCAAAGCTGGAGACATCACTGAAGGATTTTTTACATTCATTACACTGGTGAAGTTTCTGTCCTGTTTGAGTTATAGATAGTTCTGCCTCAACCTGGTAGGACAAATCACCTTGGGTGGGAAACTGAGAACTATTTATCATGAAGTTTTGACACCTGGCTAAATCACTTGCAATTTGTTGCCAGATTTGCCTGCAGGAAAGCTCTTCATGTGGTCCTGCTTCTGGAATAGTCTCCATCTCACTTTGGATCTTGTCTGCTGTAAGGACAGAGAATTCAGAGATGTGGACAACTGAAGGCTCTGTTCAAAGTTTTCAAGATTTCATACTTAGGAGAGAACATGAGATTTTAACAAATCCAGAGAAGGTCCAGTTTGTCTTTTCCACTGTGTATCATGGTCTCTGGTTTGCATAAGTAGAGAAACCAAGAGGTGGTTTAGTTGGCTGCTATTCACTAGGCATTAATGAGACCTATTTATATGATACCAAATATTGTATGTGAGGTACAAGTTAGAAGTCAAAGACTTAATTTTAAAAATTGATAATATGATACAAACTGTTAACCTACTGCCGTTTCTATTGAATTTCAAAGTCAGCATACAATCCTGGATAGTAAATTATGTAAACATAAAACTCACATAGATAATAAAATATGAATCAACAAGAATTTTAAGCAAAAGCAAAAAATAATCAAATACTTTGCAGTTTGGATTCATGTTACATATTCAAATTATTAAATACCTTGAAATATTTATATTTACAAATTCACAGTACAGTTGATCTTTGAACAACATAGATTTGAACCCGGTTGTCCACTTACACATGGATTTTCCTCCACCTCTACCACCCCTGAGCAAGACCTGCTTTTCCTCTTCCTCCTTATAATTTTCTTTTTTTGGGGGACAGAGTCTCACTCTGTTGCCAGGGCTAGAGTGCTGTGGCATTGGCCTAGCTCATAGCAACCTCAAACTCCTGGGCTCAAGCAATCCTTCTGCCTCAGCCTCCC